GAGTTGCCCTATTGCATAATGACGTCACAGTATATTTACTGGATAGATGCTCAAAATACTCGAAATTTGGACCTATTAACATTCTTTCCGAAAGAAGAACTTTAGTGCATCGAGTTTTGATGTACATCATTTATCATCTACACTTTATGTGATCCCACTCTGACCCCCTCTGGCGTCCACAATCCTTGGCGTCAAAACAATAGAATATTTTGGTGTGACGTAATTATRCGATAGGGCAATTCAGGGCTTCATTCTATATATACCGAACCAGGGCGAATACTTTTCTCCTAATTTATTGTACGTCGCCGAAGCTCCACATGGCTGCTCCACAGAATCCAGATAATGATGCATGCCCTTAACGTCCTCGCGGCTCAAGTAGAGCCGGGGTATCTAGAATCAAGCCCACGTTGAAAACCAACCTGATGAGGTATAAACATCTTTTGATCTGTCGATCGGTCCGTTAGTGTTACTTTAGTTCCGTAAGTTCTTTCGCTTCGCATGCGTCTTTAGTAACTCCATTTCAGATTTCCCTTCACTCCTCTCTAGCTTATTCGCCATAGTGAACCTTGTATTGTCGTTACAACTTTTAATTTGCTTAATTTCTTACCGTCCTGTCCGTTTCATTCGTTTATCGGTTCTTGGTATCTCTCTGAATTCTTATAGCTGTTCTAAAACCATCCACWTTTCCCCTTATGTCCAGCCGGCGCTAATGTAGTTTACTGCAGTTTACTCCTTATTGTCTTGTTATCACCAATGCATATGTTTGTTTATACGTACATTAGGCTCCATTGGAAGGTCAGTTTTCGTTCCCTGCATTTCAATCTATAGCTCCACTCGCCTTTTTTACCCCAATTACTTTAATTATCTTCTCTGAGGATCCAAAATTACCCCATTCASTGGCAGGACTACTTTTGGCCGCTATACATAAATTAGACGTCACTAGTACAGCGTTAAGCGAACKGGAAGTGCTTGTAAAATTGAAATTAAAATGTATACGGCCGTGGGTCGGCAGGAAATTTAGTCACATAGGAAAAAGTGWACAGGTAACCCAAAGGCTAGGCCGTATAACGGCAGGAATATGCTGTGAAGTATGCCGCAGATAGGCAGGCAAATAATTCAAKAAAGCAAAAGTGCACAGGGAACCCCAAGGCTATGCCTTGAAACGGTATGAATATATATGTTGTGACGTATGCCACTGGCCGGCAGGCACTCAGATAATGCATGCAGTCAAATRTGCGCAGTGAACCCAAAGCTACACCGAAATATACTGTGAATGGGCGCCGCCGGTCGGCAGTTAAAAAGGCACGTCACAAAGGCACACAGGAACCCCGCAAGTCGATCCCGCAAGCGTTGCGCTCGGAAAACACTAAATGAGGGTCTCAATGGGGTTAACCGTGAGCCGTGAAACGGCTAAAAAATTAGCCGTGAGTCGTGAAAATGCGAAAAAATTAGACGT